CAGAAGCTTGAAACCAATGAACTTCTGATGAAGAAATACAGGGATTCCCAAAATATATACGAAAAGTTAAACGATCAAATGGACACTCAAGGAATTGGATTCAATGAATTGGACTCCTTCATCGAAACAAAGAAATCCACCCTTGAATCCACTTTCAAACTTGGATGCATTCAAAAACCCGACTTTTTTCCCGAAACCAATAGCAAATTTTAAAAGAGTTAAAGTCGATGGAAAAACTGTCGTTTTGAGACAGGATTTTGAAAACGTGGTGTACGAGAGCTGTTCATAAAAGAAATCTAATGAAAGGAATGACGCCTCCAATTTAGAGACCGATGGGAACCCTATGGTTAAATCAGAGTCTTTGGTTGTCAATCCCACTTCATCAGCAAGTACCGTTGATGAAAAGGAGAATCTTAGTAAGGAACTATCAGTTGTTGAATCGATGAACCATCCAAGTAACGTTGGAAGTTCGTCTAAGTCAGAAACAATGGAACCCCCAACAGATTACTCTGAAGCATCAACCTCTGAACCCACACCTCCCACAAACATCCATGATAATTTTGATTTCGAGAAATCAGCAAGAGACTTTCTTGATTCTAAATCTGAAGAAGAGATAGTCTGTGATCACCAAAGATCATTGAGGATAAGAAGCCTCAAAACGTCAAACCCTCAATGAAATCTGATGTTCCACCATCGATGAAATCTTCAGACAAAGGAAAGGGAAAGCTGAGCAGTATCAAATCTGCTAACGATGACTCACAAGGACCGAGTACATTTTCTAAGTTCATCAAGGTTACTCGTGAGCAAAAAGAGAAGTGGTATGCCTCTGAGAACTCTAACCACCACTTTTCCTCTCATTTAGCTAAAGAAAAGCAATCCTTCCTCAAGAGTAAAGAAGTAATGACCAAGACCTTCACAAATAGAAAATCTGAACTAGATAGAAAGTTTAACAACTGATGCTAGGACAAGATTTTCATCCCCTGCATTTACTTCTTCATTTTTATCGAATAAAAAAAACGTTAGACATTCATATCGAAAGAACCATAATTGTCAATGTTTAGCTCTTTTACAAAACCTGAGGAACGACATGTTGACACATCGCTGCATATTCTCCAAACACGTTTATCGCTATAAGGTTAAAACAAATGAAAACATAAAAAGCCCAAGTCCAAGGGCAAGGGAAATGCAAATAAACCCAAGCCTGCAAAGGCTAAGGGTTATGAAAAGAGAGAGGTATCTCCCACTAACAAACGTGGGCTCATTATGAAATGGGTACCTAAACCCCCTTAATTTGTCTTGCAGGACCAACATGTGCAACCATGGTATATGGATTCAGCTTGCTCCAGGCACATGATTGGTGACAAAAGTCAACTGTCCTCCTTCATCGAGAAATCTGGAGGCTCTGTCACTTTTGGAGACAACAACAAGGGTACCATCATGGGATATGACACTCTCGTAAAAGGCAACATCTCCATCAGCAAAGTGGCTTATGTTGAAGGCTTGAAGCACGACTTACTAAGCATAAGCCAGTTCTGCGACAAGGGTCTTGAAGTCAGATTTCGCAAGGGTTTCTGCATCATAGAAACACAGCCCGGCCAAACCATCATCAAGGCAAAGAGAGAAGGAAATCTCTATCTTCTGGACTTTCAATCCTCTATAGGACAAGACACCCTCTGCCTTGTATCCCACTATGGAATCAAAAGTTCTCACATCTCAACTTTGATGTTCTAAGGAAACTAGCCAAAAAAAAGCTGGTCAAGGGGATACCGGACCTCAATTTCGAAATAGACCACCTGTGTTCAGCTTGCGAGATGGGAAAGCTAAAACGGTCCTCTCACAAAACTAAGTCAAAAACCTCCGGCACCAAGCCCTTGGACATGATCCACATTGATCTCTGTGGACCCATATCTACATAAAGCATCTCTGGAAAAGAAGTACATATTAGTACTAGTTGATGAATACTCCAAATACACGTGGGTTGAGTTTGTAAAGAAGAAATCAGATGTTCCCGACCTACTCATTGGGGTGATGAAAAGGCTCCAAGTCATTCTACAACGAAAACTCATAAAAGTTAGAAGCGATAATGGAACTGAATTGAAAAATGCCAGAATCGATGAATACCTCATAAGTGAAGGCATTACAAAAAACTTTTCAGTAGCCAGAACTCCGCAACAGAATGGAGTAGTGAAGCGAAGGAACAGAACTGTTGATCCTCTCTCTTAGTGATTTGATGATAATCCCTTTTTCCTTTC